GCATTTATATAGCAACTTCCCTCACAACCAGCATTCCCAAAAGAAACACTTTATTGAATTATTGTCACTCTTGTAATGCAGCAAACACAGCTGCAAATTTGTGCAAAACAAGCTCCAAAAACAGCCTTGTGATAATACCTGTTTTAGTGATATTGGTTGATGTATAAATATTGGCCAGGATGCAAGGGAGAACTGCCCTGGTCTTTTACATCCACTTGAGAGAGCAGGTGGGGTTGCTGTTTAATGTCTTATCTGGAAAAAACAGCACCTCCAACAGAGCAACACTCCCTCACTGGATACATCATAACTTTTTCGTTTCCTTCTTGCTCATATCTTGCTTCCCCTTAAATGCATTTATGCTATTCATGTGTGGCAGTGAGTTCCGCCACTTCTTTGGGAAAGGGGATTTTTCTTGAATCTGTAACTTTTGAATCCACTTGAACCTTTTGACCAATCTGTAGTTATCTCAAACTATCATTTGCCAATTACTTAGTCACTTCCAGTGTGTGTTTTCTGCATTTTCTTTTGCCAACACCATGTTTAGCCACTTCTTGTTAGGTGTCAGCTGTGGTTCAGTGGTTATCAGTCTTGCCTGTGCATCAGAATAGTATTGGATCAATCCAGTTCCAGAATGTTGGGCACAAAGTCCATGCTGGTGCATTCATTCACGCTGAGGGAGTGCTGCACTCTTGGTGGTGCTGCCTCTCCCATCAGACTTTGAACCAAGGCTTCCCTTGCACTTTCAGGTGTCCTCGCCAGTTTTTATCCTTCAAATAACATCACGGTCACAGATAGAAAAAAAATGCTGGTAAAACAGAGTTCCGAAGAAAGGCCATAGCAGACTCAAAATATTAACACTGTTCCTCTCTCCGTACCTGCTGCCAGACCTGCTGAGTTTCTCCAGCCCTCTCTACTTTTATTTCAGATTTCCAACATCCGCAGTGTTTTGCTTTTGGTCTTTCATTACATCCCTGTGTGTGTAGGAGCTGTGCAAATTGTTTGCTACATTTCCTACATTACAACAGCGACAGTGCTTTATTGGCTATAGAGTGCATTGGGACATCTTGAAGTTGGGAAAAGGCACTTCATAAATGTAAGTTCTTTCTGCAGATTTTTAAAAATTGATGGCAATTTTTTGGGTCAAGCTGAGGGAATTCAATAATGTGGGAGAGAACCATTGGAGTCAAGACACTGATGGTGGATACATGGAAGTACAAGGAACTCTGGAAACTACATTTGCAGGGAAGGGAGTGAATGTTGAAGATGATGGATGTGGTGCCAATCGATCAATCCTGGATAATGTTGAGCTTCTTGAGTGTTGTTGGTGCTGCACTCATCCAGGCAGGTGGGGAATATTCCCTCATACCGTTGTCGACAGGGCTCTCAAACGGGTTCGACCCATCTCCCGCACTTCTGCCCTCACCCCTTCTCTTCACTCCAGCAACAGCAATAGGGTTCCCCTTGTCCTTACCTACCATCCCACCAGCATCCACATCCTAAAGATCATCATTTCTGCCATCTCAAGCGAGATGCCACCACCAAACACATATTCCCCTCCCCTCCCTTGTCCGCCTTCCGCAGGGACCGTGCCCTCCGGGACACCCTGGTCCACACTTCCTTCACCCCCAACACCTCCCCACAGCCCTACGGCACCTTCCCTGTAACCGGCAAAGGTGCAACACCTGCCCATTTACCTCCTCCGTCCCCAAACATACCTTCCAAGTGAAGCAACACTTCACCTGCACTTCCCAGAATCTAGTCTACTGCATTCACTGCGCACAATGTGGTCTCCTCTACATTGGGAAAACAAAGCGTAGACTGGGTGATGGCTTCGCAGAACGTCTATGTTCTGCTCGCAAAAAAGACCCTGAACTACCTGTTGCCTGCCACTTTAATGCACCACCCTGTTCCCTGGCCAACATCTCTGTTTCTGGCATGCTGCAGTGTTCCAGTGAAACTCAACGCAACAAAAACAAAGTTGCTGGAAAAGCTCAGCAGGTCTGGCAGCATCTGTGAAGGAAAAACCAGAGTTAACGTTTCGGGTCCGGTGACCCTTCCTTAGAACAGAGCAAGCTCCACGCAAGCTGGAAGAACAGCACATCATTTTCTGCTTGGGGACCCTGCAGCCCTCCAGACTCAATGTCAAGTTCAATAATTTTAGGGTCTAAACCCTCCCATGTCCCAGCCCCCTACCCCACACACCAGACCTTGTTATCACATAGCCTGCCATTACACACCACCTGAGATCACAAGGTGTAGAGCTAGATGAACACAGCAGGTCAAGCAGCATCAGAGGAGCAGGAAGGCTGACGTTTCGGGCCTAGACCCTCCATTACACACCACCTGTTGTTAGTCACTAATAAGTCCCCATTAACAACTATTCACTCTCCCAGCCTGATCATTATCAACTCTTTTTTCTGTCCAGCTGTTCTCTCTTCTCTTTAGGCTCTATCCTATCGTTTACTCCCTACCCCAACCCCCTCCGTATTTTCTACATATAAATTGACGTTTTCCCAGCCACCATCAGTTCTGAGTTCTGATTTACAGCATCTGCAGTTCTTTCAATTTTTATTCCCTCATACTCCTGATTCCTGATATTGATTAAAGGATAATTAATTGGCGCTGGACGGTGGAACACCTCAGCTCTTCTTCAAAATGTTACATGGGATCTGTTATTTCCACCTGGCAGGGAAGATGAAGGCCTCTGTTTTAACATTGAATTCAAAAGACTGTTTGTAGCATTTATTGAATATATGGTGTTCTTGAAAATTTATAGCAAAGAAAGAGGCCATTCAGCCCATTATCTCTTTGCTAGAGGGTTCTAAAACCAAATTCATCTTTTTATTCCATTAACTGTGGAAGGTAAAGGGTGATTTAATCACTGTGATTAATGTGAGAAAAAAGAATTGGGAGAGTTGTGATATTTTTGCAGGATGGACTAAAGCAGTGATAGAAAGTAACAATTTCCTGTGTGATGGAGGCAGAGTTCCAAAAAAGAGGACACAAATTTGAATTGAGTCATTCAGTAGTAAAATTAGTAAGTGTGTTTGGGCACAAAAGGGTGGCAGAAATTTGTAGCCCTCTTGTAAAAGGTTTCTTTTTAATTCACTCATGGGATGTGGACATTTCTGGCTAGGCCAGCATAAATCTCCCATCCCAAATTCCCATGGAGAAGATGCTGGTGAGCTGCAGGCCATGTGCTGTAGGTAGACCCACAAGTGTTGGGTGACAACTGAAACTTCTAAGACTAGATATTTTCCTCATCAGTCTGTTCAGAGATGTTATAACATACCTCTGGAGCACATGGGACTTGATCCTGGATCTCCTGGCTCAGAGGTAGGGACACTACCACAGTGCCACAGGGGTACTGCTACTTAAACTATGACTGCTAGATTTATGTTGGGTGAGGGTATCAAGGAGTCAAAGGATGGATCGGGGGTATACATGGGCAGTAAATCAGGTCGAAACTGATTGAATGCTATGGCAGAGTTGAGGGGCTGAATGGTCATCTTGTGTTTCTGTGTCCTTGACAAAAGTTTGGGGTGGGTGGTCAGAATGTTCCAAACAGTGGCAGGCAACAGCTCTGATTCCTTGAGGGAAAGTCACATTGCTCAGATGTCCATCCACTTGCAAAGCCTCAGCTACCAACCAGCCCTGAATGCCCATGCCATCTGATTCAACACAAGCAAGCCAGCATGTTTACCATTACATGCAGCCATGCTCAGATGGCGGTAAAATGGGCTGCACTCAAGCACAGTCTGAAACTCCAGTACAGGATTGAGTTGCAGCTCTGTTGGAGATGCCATCCATTGGAAGAGATGTCAAACTGGTGTCTCACTACCTTAAAGATCCCATGGCATTATTTGAGAAAGTACTTCAGGATTTTGGACAATATTTACCCCTCACCCAATTCAAGCAAAAACATCAATTGTTTATCTCATTTTAAATTTTAAAAGACAAAGTACTCCACTTTTATGTGGAGCCTTTCACAGCCATTGGCCATCCTAATGCACTTCATAGCGTTAAGTCATTTGGATCCGTAGTCATTATTGCAACATGACAGCCAATTTGCAGACAATCAACCATGTAATAATAATCAGTTTTGCTGAGATGTTTTGATCTTGTTCACGGGATGCATACTTTTGCTGGCTAGGCCAGCATTAATTGCCCATCCCTAATTGCCCCCCAGAGAAGGTGAAGGTGAACTATCTTCTTGAACAACTCCAGTCCTTGGAGTTAGCTAGACACTAAATGCCATTAAGGAGGGTCTTCCGGTACATGTACCCAGCAACACTGGAGGAACGGTGATATATTTCCAAGTCATGATGGTGTGTGGCTCGGAGGGCAACTTGCAGGGTGTGGTAATCACACGTATCTGGTGCCCTTATCCTTCTAGTTAATAGAAGTCACAGGTTTGAGTTGCTGTCGAAAAAGCTTTGATGAATACCTACAGTGCATCTTGTAGATGGTACACAATGCTGCCGCTGAGCGTCAGTGGTAGAAGGAGTGAATGTTTGTGGGTGAGGTGCCAATCAAACTGGCTGCTTTATCCTGGACAGTGTTGAGCTTCTCAAGTGTTGCTGGAGCTTCACTCTTCCAGACAAGTGGAGAGCATTCCATCACACTCCTGATTTCTGATATTGGTTCAGGGAAAATTATTGGTCTTGAATAATGAGAACACATCTGCTTTTCTTCAAAATGCTACACGGGATGTTATGCTTACCTAAGGGGGAAGGCAAAGACCTCTGTTTTAACACTGCACCCAAAAGACTGTGCAGAATTTGAATTGTCAAATTTGCCAACATGACATTTACTGAGTAGAAAATTTTCACTGCATATAAAGCCCTTTGAGTGATTTCTGAGAGCTGTAATATAGTAGTAGACATTTCTTTCTTTTCCTTGTGACAGATGTGAACTGAGTGATCCTAAAGTGGTCGAAAAGCTATTTCAAAAAAGCAAACTGTTTAACTTTAATTTCTTTTCTTGCCTTTCTTCTGCAGTCCTTGGATGGTTTTATTTTTGCACTAAATCGAGAAGGGAAATTTTTGTACATCTCTGAAACTGTCTCCATCTACCTGGGACTGTCACAGGTAGGAGAAATACAGTTAGTCTCATTCCTTCTTAGTAGAGTTGCCAACTCTCCAAAATTGGCCTGGAGTTTCCAGGGATTGAAGACACTGCTGTGCAAAACCCCTGGAGAAAAATAATCACAGGGACATTAATTTTTTTTTGTCATCTGCTTTGAATAATTTTCTTTACTAGATGTAAAAATGATTGAAAATGGGAAAAAGAAGGTTGTTTGGCCAACTCTCAAGCATCGTCCAATTGGATAATGAATCTTTTTCTTTTTGATTGGTCTAAAAAGGCATTGCATCACCAGGATGGACATGTCAACTGACCAATAGCTGTAAGCTGGGGGAAGGGCCAAATCATGTGATGAAACCTCCAGTAATAGGTTTAATCCAAGTTGGCAACCCTACTTTTTAATGCGGTCGTCAAATGTTCCCAATGTAGCAATATTATGTCATGCTCAGATCTTGCACCCCAGCCAGTTTTCCAGCCCCACCTTTAGCTTTCTCTCAAAGCCACTGATGCAAATTCAGGTGACACATAGCCTCACCTGAAGCTCATGCGTGAGAGTGCACCTGGTAAAATAAACATGGGGCAATCAGATATTGTAGCTTCAACACCTGTTGATATCGGAGCAGGAGGTGGTTATTGAAGCCTGGGGAGTCCAGAACCAGGGGTCACAGTCTAAGGATGCAGGCTAGGCCGTATAGAATGAAGAACAAGGAGAAATGTTTTCAACCAGAGAATGGTGAGCCTGTTGAATTCTCTGCCACAAAAATGGTTGAGTCCAAAACTCTGCATATTTTCAAGAAGGACTTAGATATAGGTTTTAGGATTAGAAAGATCAAAGGATAAGAGGAGTAAGTGGAAACAGAGGACTGAATTGGATAATCAGCCATGATGATATTGAATGGGGAGCAGGCTCGAAGGGCCAACCAGCCTACTACTGCTCCTGTTTTCTATGTTTCTATGCAGGAAGAATGTTTCCCCTGGACTGGGGAGGGAGGAGGGTCTACAAACCAGGGACCGGTATCAGAAAAAGAGCTGGCCATTGAAGACTGAGATGAGGAGGAATTTCTTCACTCAGAGGGTGCTGAATCTTTGGAACTCTCTATTGCTTATTTTGACCAGTCGGCAAGCATGCCCAATGGAGACAGGCCCACTTGGAGTTGGGTTAATGCTAGCGGTAGCAGGCTGAGGTCTTAGTCACTTAATTAATTGCTTTGCAAGTCCTGCTGTCTGCAAACCATAGAAACTTAGAAGGTAGGAACAGGAGTAGGCCATTCAGCCCCTTAATCTTGCTCATGTTTCTGTGTTTTCATGTTTTTACTTTAATGTTTCTGTGCTTTTATTTTGTGGAGATGGTGGCCTACTGGTAATGTGGCTAGATTAACCCAGAGGCTCAGCAAATGCTGTGGAGTCTGGAGGCACAGGTTCTCTTAAAACATATGGAATATAAAGTTAGACTCAGTGATCATGTCAACTAACATCAACTGTCTTGAAAACCCCTTTAAAGCCTTTTTTGGAGGGGAATCTGCTGTCCTTACCTGTGACTCCCGCCTACATCCTGCCCAGGGGAGGCGATGGCCTAGTGGTATTATTGCTGGACTGTTAATCCAGAGACCCAGATAACATTCTGGGGCCTGGGTTCAAATCCCACCATGGCAGATGGTGGAATTTGAATTCAGTAAATATCTGGAATTAAGACTCTAGGGATGACTATGAATCCATTGTTGATTGTCAGGGGGAAAACCTATCTGGTTCACTAATGTTCTTTAGGGAGGGAAACTGTCATCCTTACCTGGTCTGGCCTACATGTGACTCCAGACCCACGGCAATGTGGTTGACTCTTAACTGCCCTCTGGGCAATTAGGGATGGACAATAAATGCTGCCTAGGCAGAGACGCCCTCATCCCATGAATGAATAAAGGGAAAAAAAATACATGTGACTCCAGTCTCACAACAATGTGGTTGATACTTAACTGGCCTCTGAAATTAATGAGCAAGACACTCACTTTGGGGTAATTAGGGATGGGCAACAAATAAACGAAATAAACTACTTCCCAAGAAAGAATAAAGAAAGTAAAGCTCCCTGAATCTATTCCACCATTCCGTAAGATCATGGCTCATCTGCACCCTAACTCCACACACTTGCCTTTGCCTCTTATCCCTTTGGCTAACAAAAATCGTCAACTTAGATTTGTAATTAACAATTGATTGAGCACCTTTCACTCCTGAAAGAAAAGGCCGAAAGAATTGCGGATGCTTGAAATCAGAAACATAAACAGAAATTGCTGGAAAAGTTCAGCAGGTCTGGCAGCATCTGTGGAAAGAAATCAGAGTCAACATTTCGGGTCCAGTGACCCTTCCTCAGAAGGGTGTGAATATTCTGAGGAAGGGTCACTGGACCCGAAATGTTAACTCTGATTTCCCTCCACAGCAGCTGCCAGACCTGCTGAGCTTTTCTAGCAACTTCTGTTTTTGTTTCACTCCTGAAAGGCCTGGCTATATGTTTTAGACTGTGCCTGTCAGTCCCAGACACCTCAACCAGTGGAAACAGTTTCTGTATTTACCCTGTCCTTGCCCTTTTATAACCTCTGTAAAAATCTTCAATCAAAACACTCCCCAACTTTTTGAATCCAGGTTTGTGTGATCTCTCTTCATTATGTAATCCCTGATGCCATATCTCATTTTGATCAATCTTCACGGCATTCCCTCCAAGGCTAGTATATCCTTTCTCAGGTGTGGCATTCAGCCACTGATCACTAAACTTGGCAAATGCACTCCTTCCGGCTGCATCCATCTGTCGTGATCGTCACCATTCTCTCACAGATGTATCAGTAAATTGAGTATTACTGGGTAGCTTTGTTTCTTTTTTTTGTCACACACAAACACACAGACAGGCACACACACACATAAACATACATATACAACAGACACACACAAACACATAGACAAACAGACATTCAGATGCACTCAGATAGTCACAAACGCAAACATTGAAACACACAATCACACATTGAAACACACACATAAAAAAACATACAAACATACACACATACACAGACACACACTTACACCAATATATAACACCCACACATATATTTAAACAATCTCTCTCACTCTCTCTCTCTCACACACACAGACACACACACACACAGACACACACACACACACACACACACACACACCACAACAGGTGGAATTCTACCCTCCCTGGAGATGATGCAGAATGGAAATATTTGGGTGAGTTTATCCTGGATGTCGTCGCCTCAGCAGTTATCTATGGGGCAAGAAGGTCCATGGGGCACTTAGTCAAATCACCAACAATTAAAACCCTTAATTGATAAATTAATGGCCACTGAAGGGCCTGAACCTGCTGTGTTCCTAGCTACATGACTCCCTGTCAGGCAAGAAATGTATCTTGTATCCCAACCACCTGCCTGTTGTGTTCAGTGTTGAGGGCCTCCAATTGCCCCAACCTGGGAGCAGTTGAAGATGCAAAGTACAGGCAAGGAGTTGTGAATGCAGATCCCTGAAGGTGAGAGATGGTCATTTGCTGAGTTTAATGTGCTTGGCCCAGATCTCAGTCTGTTGACAGTCAGGAGGTGTGAGTTTGCTGATATGACACCATTGTGCTGTGGTGCATATTATCCAGGTAAAGTCAGTTCATGGCTATAAATTGGAAGGTGGTTTCCTGGGAATTGAAGCTTCCAGGAGAGGTCAGATTAGCTGCATAAGATCTCTGTTGTCAATTTCAAGGTAGGTTCCCATAAACCTGAGCCGGCACAATGGTGGAAGGAACAGTGGAGGCATGACTAATTGGCTTTTTCATTTAGGACTGAGATGGGGAGGAATTTCTTCACTTCGAGGGTGGCATTTCTTTGGTGTTCCCTATTTCAGAAAGCTATGGGAGGCTTTATCATTGAGTTTATTCAAGGCTGAGATTGATAGCTTCTTACATATTAACAACATCAAGAGTTTTGAAGATGGTGCAGGAAACTGGTGTTTAAATAGAGGATCAGCCAGCCATAATCTCATAGAATAGTAGAGTGAGCTCAAAAGGTTGAATGGCCTCCACCTGCTCCTATCTCTAATGATCTTATGCTCCTTGGGTCAATGGACTATTTGTTTTCCTGAGCTGAAAGATTATCCGATACCATCCCACTGCGCACAAATGCCCATAGACAACATACACATGCAGGCAACATACACATAGGTAACACAAACGCACATGCACAAAGGCACATACATACGCATGCACACACATGCACGTTCAGATTTGTGCACTGATCCATATGGAAACGTGCACGTCAACATAGGCACATGCATGCACACATACACATGCACACAATCATATATGCACTGATACACACATATGGGCACACACGCACACATTTAGACATGCACATACAGACTTGCATGCACACACAAGAACATGCACACAAGTACACACACACATGCATACAGGTACATGAGTGCATGCACACTTGGACATGCATACATACACATGCACACAAATGCACACAGGTACATGTGCACATGCATCCATAAATATACATACACACGTGGACATGCTCACACTCATGCAGACAGACATGCACACACACATATACACAAAAACAGACACACGCACACAATGACAAGCATTCATACACAGGCATGCACAAGCAAGCGCATAGACCATGCACTCACACAGACATACACCTTTTCATCCACTGAGCATCAATCTGTAAAACCCAACAGGAGTAAAAAAAACAATGCTTTTCACCATTACGGCTCTTCTAATGTGTTAATTGCATGACACTTGTCTCTGTGTGACTGTCTGCTTCTTTCTATTTTTAATTGTTCCACCTGGACTGGAATCCATTATGTGCTGTGCATCAGTACTGAATCACAATTGCTGCTGCATGAATAATTAATACCTGTAATTATCTGCTGTACAGGAGAGCTGCTTAACACATGTTAGACATAATTGATGAGTGTATAAAAAGCTAAACTGATTTCAATGCTGGAATCG